TGCAAGAATGATTAACATCTGCAAGAATGATCAACACCTGCAAGATAGGTATCCTAACACCCGCACCAGAATATGCTGGCTAGCGCCTTTAAAGGACGCTGTCAAGCAAGGTGTGGTGTCCTGTGCCAGATAAGTCCACTACGGGCTCACCATAGCCGGTGCTACATGGAACGTCTTGTACCTAGTAGCTGAATCTTAAACAACAATAACAACAGCAAGGTGTGGTAGTGGTACCCCTGAAGTGGTATTGGTATGAAGACTGGTCAGTCCCCCCTAGGACCTGGGACTTCCTAGGGGTCTAAGAAGGTATGGTCTTCCGGAATGCTGAAACCATCATACCACCTGGTATGATGCAAGTACCCCCGAGGTGGTACTGGTATTATGGTGGTGATGAGTCTTAAAATAATCGTGGGAGGTATCCTTAAGATGATGGAAAGAAAGATGGCAGAATACTGCTTCCGCTCCTTCCTCACTCCCTCCTATCCCATGTTCTCTCTATTCTCTCTCCTATCCATTCCATTTTGGTCTCCTCTCGCTGCCTCCCCCATTCCATCTCCGTCCCTGAGAAAACCCTGCAGAGAGGGAAGGGGGTCACGATTAACGAAGGGGGGGGGGGGGGTTGAACGTATAACGTCCGACGGTAACGTTCGCACTGAAGGTTATCTTGAGGTTATCTTGAGTTGATTTCGGGGCTTTAGTGTCCCCGCGGCCCGGTCCTCGACCAGGCCTCCACCCCCAGGAAGCAGCCCGTGACAGCTGACTAACACCCAGGTACCTATTTACTGCTAGGTAACAGGGGCATAGGGTGAAAGAAACTTTGCCCATTTGTTTCTGCCTCGTGCGGGAATCGAACCCGCGCCACAGAATTACGAGTCCTGCGCGCTATCCACCAGGCTACGAGACCCCTTAGAAAGAAGAAACAATCGCCAACTTCTCCAGCTTGTGTGGCTTTAAGCTCCAGCGCTTGGGCCCCGCCTCTCAGCTTTCAATCGAGTTGAGTTTATATTCCCTGAAGTGTCTGACACCGGGATTATTTCCTGGACTGGGGCTTGTAGCTCATGCCTCTCGACGACAGGACAAGTCTAATGGCAAATCCCTGATCTTCCTCCTGGACTTGTGATCCTGTGGTCCCGGGTTCGATCCCGGGCGCCGGCGAGAAACAATGGGCAGAGTTTCTTTCACCCTATGCCTCTGTTACCTAGCACTAAAATAGGTACCTGGGTGTTAGTCAGCTGTCACGGGCTGCTTCCTGGGGGTGGAGGCCTGGTCGAGATAATATAAGATTAACGACACAGATCCACAATACATATATAATCCTTCCCTACACTACATGACAAATGTATTTATATATCTCTTTAGATATATGTATATATCTTAAGCTCTTCGGAGCTCAACACTCAGGCCGTCCTCCTAAGATTCCCTAACGTCAAGAAAACGGTGTATTTAAAGTGCCCTCACCTAACCTACCAGAGGACCCACCACACACACGCCTCACTCCACAAGCAGTTAACTAGTTAACATGGCGCCAAACATATCAACAAGACCTTGAAATATTCTTAAGAGTCCAACGTTCACAGGAACGTTGGACACACTGATATGAAAGTGGCAAAATATACCTATTCACTAATACATGAATTAACATATTATGACGTTAATTATAGAATATATTTACAAAGTTAGGACACAATGTATATGAAAAATATCTTCCAAACGCCGCCTAATAAGACTCGTCCCGACAATATCTTGAGTTATCTTGAGACAATTTCGGGGCTTTTAGTGTCCCCGCGGCCCGGTCCTCGACCAGGCCTCCACCCCCAGGAAGCAGCCCGTGACAGCTGACTAACACCCAGGTACCTATTTTACTGCTAGGTAACAGGGGCATAGGGTGAAAGAAACTCTGCCCATTGTTTCTCTCCGGCGTCCGGGATCGAACCCGGGACCACAGGATCACAAGTCCAGTGTGCTGTCCGCTCGGCCGACCGGCTCCCAAGCTGAACTAAAGCGGATTAAAGTACACTTTTTTATTTAATGCAATTAAATTATTTTTAACGCAATTAAATTATTTTTAACGCAATTAAATTTGTATTTAATTGGGATTCATTGCCACTTAGGGACATCCCAATCCGCTTATCCCAGCAAGGTCGATGTTCATTAGCCCTATGAAGCGTGAATATCCCGGTGTGTGTGATATCACCATACCACCATTTTGTGTACGCAGTGGAAGATAACGTCCAAATTGCAATGGATTAAGTGTGAGGACAGGATGGATAAATTGCATTTCCGTGTAATGGAGTACACCCCCTCCCCCTGGCATTAGAGTACATCCCCCCCCCTGGCATTAGAGTACATCCCTCGCCCCCCCCTGGCATTAGAGTACATCCCTCCCCCGGGCATTAGAGTACATCCCTCCCCCGGGCATTAGAGTACATCCCCCCCCGGGCATTAGAGTACATCCCTCCCCCCCCCCGGGCATTAGAGTACATCCCTCCCCCGGGCATTAGAGTACATCCCCCCCCGGGCATTAGAGTACATCCCTCCCCCCGGGCATTAGAGTGCATCCCTCCCCCGGGCATTAGAGTACATCCCCCCCGGGCATTAGAGTACATCCCTCCCCCCCCGGGGTACTAGAGTACATCCCCCCCGGGCATTAGAGTACATCCCTCCCCCCCGGGCATTAGAGTACATCCCTCCCCCCCCGGGCATTAGAGTACATCCCCCCCGGGCATTAGAGTACATCCCCCCCGGGCATTAGAGTACATCCCTCCCCCCCCGGGCATTAGAGTACATCCCTCCCCCCCCCGGGGTACTAGAGTACATCCCCCCCGGGCATTAGAGTACATCCCTCCCCCCCCGGGCATTAGAGTACATCCCTCCCCCCCCGGGCATTAGAGTACATCCCTCCCCCCCGGGCATTAGAGTACATCCCTCCCCCCCGGGCATTAGAGTACATCCCTCCCCCCCCGGGCATTAGAGTACATCCCTCCCTCCCACCCGGACATTAGAGTACATCCCTCCCCCCCCCCCGGGGTACTAGAGTACATCCCCCCCGGGCATTAGAGTACATCCCTCCCCTCCCCCCGGACATTAGAGTACACCCCCCCCGGGCACTAACTCCACCCGGCGGGGTCCGGGGCTCCCTGGGTGATGATAGTATCAGTGTGTCAAAGAAGTCGTCTAGCCTCGTCCCTGTTAGCGTTAATGACAAGCGTGTCGTTCCCCGGCTGATAGTGTCAAGACAAGTGTCACATTTATGACAGGCTTGGCTTTGACAGGCTTTACATGGCTTTGACAGGCTTTAGATGGCTTTAGCTGGCTTTGACAGGCTTTAGATGGCTTTGACTGGCTTTAGATGGCTTTGACAGGCTTTACATGGCTTTGACAGGCTTTAGAAGGCTTTGGCAGGCTTTAGATGGCTTTGACTGGCTTTAGATGGCTTTGACAGGCTTTACATGGCTTTGACAGGCTTTAGATGGCTTTGACTGGCTTTAGATGTCTTTGACAGGCTTTAGATGGCTTTGACAGGCTTTAGATGGCTTTGACTGGCTTTAGATGTCTTTGACAGGCTTTAGATGTCTTTGACAGGCTTTAGATGGCTTTGACACAGTCTTAGGGACTTGAGGTCAAGTGTGAGACAAATGTATTTACAACTTATTTCATCCTTTCAAGTGTGTTTTAACCCTGTAGTCATGATTAATTAAGAGACTATAGGAATATATGGAATACATGGTCAAAGTTCTTTGGATCATGTCGTGGCGCAGTCGACTAGAGCGCGTCTGGGAACACCCTGTGCATAGGTTCGAACCCTCATCACTGCTCCCGTGAATTTGTTCAATAAATGGAACTGCAGAGGGCTATTGGCCCATACGAGGCAGCTGCTATTTATATCCACCCAAACTCACTGATATATATGTCAAACCTACGCTTGAAACAAACCTACGTTCAATTGTCCGATAGTTAGGCGATGAGTCACAATAACGTGGCTGAAGTATGTTGACCAGACCACACACTAGAAGGTGAAGGGACGACGACGTTTCGATCCTGGACCATTCTCAAGTCGATTGTGAGAATATGAGACAATCGACTTGAGAATGGTCCAGGACGGACCGAAACGTCGTCGTCCCTTCACCTTCTAGTGTGTGGTCTGGTCAACGTCCGATAATTAGTTTCATAAATCAACAGCAACACTGTCTTGACCAGTGTTTATACAGGTCTTTCCAAAATGTAAAATTGGCCAATTTATTTCCATCATTTCGAGTTAAATTTGATTTGTTAAAGCTTGAAATAGTTGCCCAGAATGGTGAAGATTGTTAGAAAGAATAATTGTAACCAACTGGAAGAGTCCTGCTTTTGGAGAACCAAACCTGTTGTTTTGACGTTGGACTGATTTTAAACAACTAAATTTAAACTCTTCTCGAACATGATTGCTAATTCTTAACTTTTTTACTTATTAGCATATGCTGCAAGCGTGAGATCTTGTCTTATTCATGAGGCGTTGGAGCATCATCTGTTACTCTGCTCTCTCTCAACCGCAGCATCCAACACAGGTATCCTGGACAATTACCTCATTATCCGGAGCTACTTGTCCTTATACTACCGTCGTCTTATTTACCCTGAAGCATCTTCAGGATAAATAAGGTAGTTGGAAGATCCTGTCAACTTTCAGAAATTGATCATTTTAAAATCAGAATTCTTCCTGAAGTAAGACCATTTACCTGATAAGTTCTATTAATTCCAGGAGATTCAACTCGTCCAGATAGAAGAAAACCATAAGTGGTTACTTAGCAATATCTAGAGATCGGGCGGACTACATTGGATTATATTGTAATAGGCCAGTAATCACAGGGTGAGAACGTCCTTACTTTCTAATGCGTATAATTGACCGGAATTTCTTCGACATTCACATTGGTAAAAATACAATTGTTAGTGCTGATTTGACGGTGCAGGTTAGTCATCGGGGGAGGTAAACACTGGCCTAGCACATTATATGTGGGTCGCCTCAGGCTCCACTTGTACCAGCTCCTGCCTCTGCCCCTACCCTGGCTCTTGCCCCAGCTCCTGCCCTGGCTCTTACTCCAGCTCCTGCCTCTGCCCCTGCCCTGGCTCTTGCCCCAGCTCCTGCCCTGGCTCTTACTCCAGCTCCTGCCTCTGCCCCTGCCCTGGCTCTTGCCCCAGCTCCTGCCCTGGCTCTTACTCCAGCTCCTGCCTCTGCCCCTACCCTGGCTCTTGCCCCAGCTCCTGCCCTGGCTCTTACTCCAGCTCCTGCCTCTGCCCCTGCCCTGGCTCTTGCCCCAGCTCCTGCCCTGGCTCTTACTCCAGCTCCTGCCTCTGCCCCTGCCCTGGCTCTTGCCCCAGCTCCTGCCCTGGCTCTTGCCCCAGCTCCTGCCCCTGATCCTGCCCTGGCTCTTGCCCCAGCTCCTGCCCCTGATCCTGCCCTGGCTCTTGCCCCAGCTCCTGCCCTGGCTCTTACTCCAGCTCCTGCCTCTGCCCCTGCCCTGGCTCTTGCCCCAGCTCCTGCCCCTGCCCTGGCTCTTGCCCCAGCTCCTGCCCCTGCCCTGGCTCTTGCCCCAGCTCCTGCCCTGGCTCTTGCCCCAGCTCCTGCCCCTGATCCTGCCCTGGCTCTTGCCCCAGCTCCTGATCCTGCCCCTGATCCTGCCCTGGCTCTTGCCCCAGCTCCTGATCCTGCCCTGGCTCTTGCCCCAGCTCCTGATCCTGCCCTGGCTCTTGCCCCAGCTCCTGATCCTGCCCTGGCTCTTGCCCCAGCTCCTGATCCTGCCCTGGCTCTTGCCCCAACTCCTGCCCCTGATCTTGCCATGGCTCTTGGCCTGGCTCTTGCCCCAACTCCTGCCCCTGATCTTGCCCTGGCTCTTGCCCCAGCTCCTGCCCCTGATCTTGCCATGGCTCTTGGCCTGACTCTTGCCCTGGCTCTTGCCCCAGCTCTTGCCCCTGATTCTGCCCTCACTCCTACCCTGGTTCCTGCCCCAAACGGCTGACCAAACTCGTGCCTCGATTTCTGCTCTGTCCCCTACACTGGCTCCTTGCCTATCTTGGAATGACTCCATTCAATCTTCACTTTATCTTTGTATTCTGTTTTATCTCTCTCTCTTTTTCTCCTCTCTCTTGTCTTAATGCCTCTCTCTCTTTTTTTCTCCTCTCTCTTGTCTTAATGCCTCTCTCTCTCTTTTTCTCCTCTCTCTTGTCTTAATGCCTCTCTCTCTCTTTTTCTCCTCTCTCTTGTCTTAATGCCTCTCTCTCTCTTTTTCTCCTCTCTCTTGTCTTAATGCCTCTCTCTCTTTTTTTCTCCTCTCTCTTGTCTTAATGCCTCTCTCTCTCTCTATCGGGCGAAAGTGTACAAACCATGCAAACTTTGGTGGAATTATGTTTAACTACCCAAATGCATAGAGAATTAACAGACACAGGCTGTCATGTTTAATATTTTATCACCTTTAACACGGGTTCCCACTAAATTCCGTATCTTGAGGTTATCTTGAGATGATTTCGGGGCTTTTTAGTGTCCCCGCGGCCCGGTCCTCGACCAGGCCTCCACCCCCAGGAAGCAGCCCGTGACAGCTGGCTAACACCCAGGTACCTATTTTACTGCTAGGTAACAGGGGCATAGGGTGAAAGAAACTCTGCCCAATTGTTTCTCGCCGGCGCCTGGGATCGAACCCAGGACCACAGGATCACAAGTCCAGCGTGCTGTCCGCTCGGCCGACCGGCTCCTGAAAACATCGTAAGAAAACATCTCGACAAGGGTTGTCGAGGCAGTCGACAGCATTAGCAATTAAGATGTCGGCTATCTTGATCTTAGGCGGTGACACTATAACCCATGAAAGGCTAGACAAAACGGCTGAGACCCACAAGGAATTAGAGGAAAAGTTCTTAGTTGGATCTAAAGCTATTTGAAAGACAAGAAGCAATTACAGGGTGAAGTTAGTGAGGATAAAAGTCCTTAATAGTGAGCCCAAAGGATTCATTATATCATCAGCAAGTTTGAAGACGACACAAAGTAAGGCGAATAGAAACCTCGAATGAGGATTCTCTGGATCTCTAGAAAGACCTCACCACATTGCAGAGCTGGGTAGGGAAGTGCCCAATGAACTTCCTCCTTGACATGTACAAAGTCGCAACTTGTGGAATAACAGCAGCTCCGTCTTCAAGACGAGTGGTGTAAACGTCGGTAAATCGTGCTGCCAAAGAGGCCTGTGGTGGCTTGTGTGTGTGTGTGTGTGTGTGTGTGTGTGTGTGTGTGTGTGTGTGTGTGTGTGTGTGTGTGTGTGTGTGTGTGTGTGTGTGTGTGTGTGTATTCACCGAGTTGTGCTTGCGGGGGTTGAGCTCTGCTCTTTCGGCCCGCCTCTCAACTGTCAATCAACTGTTACTAACTACTATTTTTTTCCCCACAACATACACACCCCAGAAAGCAGCCCGTGACAGCTGACTAATTCCCAGGTACCTATTTACTGCTACGTAACAGTGGCATCAGGGTGAAAGAAACTCTGCCCATTGTTTCTCGCCGGCGCTGGGAATCGAACCCGGGACCATAGGATCCCGCGTCCAGCGTGCTGTCCACTCAGCCACTAGCCCCCCCTTATGTGTGTGTGTGTGTGTGTGTGTGTGTGTGTGTGTGTGTGTATACCTCCCATGTGAAGACTCTTCCTCTCTGCCTGGCCGAGTTTTCCTGAGTTTTTTGGTCGTCATTATGTCTTTATTGCTTTGTTTTTGCTCCATCGATGTAAGTTTTTGTCTGATCAGAGCTTTCTTGTAGATTATGCCTCTCAGCTCTGGGACTAGTCTCATGTCATAGCTTTGGACCTTCACTTCATTTTATATTGGAAGAAATGCAGCTTACACGAGCTCAGAATTGAACTGAGATGTAATGAAAAGTTTGGCCCCCTGGTACAACCATTACGTTGACCAGCCTCGCACATGCCGCTGCATTACCCAGTTTGTGTGTAACTCCGAGAATAGGTAGAAGGTGATATCAACTCCTTTAGTCTTCTCTGCAGTTTGATCATATATCAATTGATCTTTTTCAAATGTATTTTGAAGTCTGTCTAAGCGAAGAGTATCGAGGCCATTTTGATAAGAGTCCGGGGCACATCCTATAAGTCGCTCTGGTTTAAGAAATGATGCCACAAGTTTTGAAATGTTACTTTTTCCTGATAATCACTTTACTTATCTTCCAAAAAGTTCTTAAAAATTTTCATTAATCACATCTCGTTTACATTTTCTGTATAGTCATGTCCTCTTGTGTATCCAGGTCACTTGTTGGGCTTTAGCTCCTTGGTCCTGGCTCTCAACTTGTAATGAGTATTCAGGTAGCGTAGAGGCTCCAATGCCTATTGTATTCTGCAAGAGCTACAATTTAACTGTCTCCAGAGTTTGACTCCGCCACTTCACTTCCTTTTGTTAATTCTGACATTAAACAAATTCTTTCTAATGTCTGTAACTCATTTGGGTATTTCGTTTGTGTTGCGTTTCTCGTGTTGTGTACCAGTTATTCCAAATTGTGTCTCTGTCTTGTAACTTTATAATAACTATTCTTTGTTTCCAAGGTGTGAGAATGTGGGCTGGACGGTTGAGCGACGGTCTTGCTTCATGCAGATCGGCGTTCAATTCCCGACTGTCCCCCCCCCCCTGTATCATCCCAAATCCTTATCCAGATCCCTTCCAAGTGCTATATAGTCGTAATGCCTTAGTGCTTTCGCGTGATAATTCCCTTCCTTCCCTTTCCTTACAACTTATACCTCTCAGCTCTAGTACTAGTCGGGTGGCATACCTTTCTACTTTCTCCATCTTCACTTTGAGCTTTCCCAGATAAGGACGCCATGCTGGTGTTGCATTTTTCAGATTTTTAGATAGTTCCTATGTCTGGCAGCCTTGCATACGCTGCTGTTGATACCCGCGTCATGTGTACCTCGGGAGATATCAACACCAGATCTTTTTGTTTGTCCGATTCCAGTCGAGTTTCCCAATCCCATCTGGCAGTCAACAGTCAGATGGGATTCTGACAGTTCCACAGATTCTAACAGTCAGATTTGTGTTCCACTTATTACCATCACTTAGTCGTCGTGTTAAAGCGGAGGTGGAGCTTCAACTCCTGGGTCCGCCGCTAAACCATTTGGGCACTTGGAGTAGTTGACCTTGAGCGTGTGTTTGTACCCATGCATTGATTCCACCTCGGCTATCTTGCTACCCGGCGCGGGGTCGCTCCCTCGCTACCTTAACACTGAAAAAGTTCTGGTTGATATGCCTCTGACTCGTCTGCATGTTCAGCCTCCATCTATGTCCCTTACTTTGGGTTCCACCCATTTGAAACACTTTGTCTTTGTCCTCCCTCCTTGCGTGTGTATGTGCGTGTGTTTGCGTGCGTGTACACACTCACTACATACATACACACAAACACCTTGTTTGTGGTTTGTATTTTCTCGTCTAATCATTATATTCTTGTTAAATAGTCCAAGCAGTACATAATCACTACTTTTTTTTTTAGGCCTGGTAAATATAAGTAATATTGCTTTTGTAAGTGCTTATTCAAAGGGGTCCCTCGATTGTTTCAAGCGTGGGTTGGACGTGTATATGAGTGGGATTGGGTGGTTATAAATAGGAGCTGCCTCGTATGGGCCAATAGGCCTTCTGCAGTTAACTTTGTTCTTATCTTCTTAAAGCTGGAAGACGTGTTGAACAAGTCACGTCGTCTCCTTAAGATGTTGGTACACAAATAGCCTCAAACAGATGTTTAGAACTACGCTCGTTCAGTTGTTTACTATTCTTCAGGTGTTTGGCGTTTGTTTCAGGTGTTTCTTCAGGTGTTTAGTCCCACAAGCCGACCACTGCATTGGACTCTTAGTTATAATAATGTTACTATCATATTTTTTTGTTTGATCGGCTTTTATTAGTAGGTCTAGATTTTAGGCCGCAGTCCTCCCCTGTGTTCCTCCAACACTGTCTCTCCTCCACACCCAGCAGTCCTCCCTGTGTACCTCCAACACTGTCTCTCCTCCACACCCAGCAGTCCTCCCTGTGTACCTCCAACACTGTCTCTCCTCCACACCCAGCAGTCCTCCCTGTGTTCCTCCAACACTGTCTCTCCACCACACCCAGCAGTCCTCCCTGTGTTCCTCCAACACTGTCTCTCCACCACACCCAGCAGTCCTCCCTGTGTACCTCCAACACTGTCTCTCCACCACACCCAGCAGTCCTCCCTGTGTACCTCCAACACTGTCTCTCCACCACACCCAGCAGTCCTCCCTGTGTACCTCCAACACTGTCTCTCCACCACACCCAGCAGTCCTCCCTGTGTACCTCCAACACTGTCTCTCCACCACACCCAGCAGTCCTCCCTGTGTACCTCCAACACTGTCTCTCCTCCACACCCAGCAGTCCTCCCTGTGTACCTCCAACACTGTCTCTCCTCCACACCCAGCAGTCCTCCCTGTGTTCCTCCAACACTGTCTCTCCACCACACCCAGCAGTCCTCCCTGTGTACCTCCAACACTGAGTACTAGCGAAGCTTTTGTCCTTCAGGTGTGGTGCCAATATCGTGCAAATCTGTTGAAATTCAACAAATATTTTATATTGTATGAGATTAGATTATTGTAGGTTGCGTGAAGCTGGAGTTAGATTAGGATAGGTTAGGTTAGGGTAGGTTAGGTTAGGTTAGGTTAGGTTAGGATAGGTTAGGTTAGGTTAGGTTAAGGGTCCGTGCTAACTCTGTGTATTGGAGAGTTAATCTCAAGTGTGTGGTACATAACATCCTAAGTGATTCCTTCCTGATAGCCAGCGTTGCACACACCGCTCTCCTTTCTTGGTATACGTGTGTTTTTCATGGGACAGGTTGGAAGTGACATCAACCCTCAGGTTTCTCCCCTGTCTGGCGCCAGGGAAGAGGGGCTTGTCCTGCCTGTTGGAACCTCGTGTTCCCTCCTCCTCTTCCCGGAACACGGTCTCTTTAAGTTTAATTTGCTGGAGTTCAACTATTGCAACCATTTGTCAGGCCATTATTGCAAGTTGTCCAGAACTTGCTGCAGCTTCTTGCAGTTGTCCGCCGTGTTTATCCCCGTCATTTGTTTCGCGTCAACTGGAAGCATCGATAAGGAGAGGCTCTGTACACTCTGGAAGACATATGCTGTAAATAATAAATATTATGGAGCCGAGAAGTGACCTCGTAGTCACGTAGGTGAGTCCTCCCTTATAGAGACGATGAGTCACAATAACGTGGCTGAAGTGTGATGACCAAAACATACACCAGAAGATGAGGAGGCGACGACGTTTCGGTCTGTCCTGGACCGAAATACGGACCGAAACGTCGTCGTCTCGTCACCTTCTGGCCTGTGGTTTGGTCATCAGTTTTCCTTTACTGTGACTCTACGATAACGTTGGTCTTTAATGATTCAAGTTCGTTTCTCTTATACCCTGTTTCTTTCTCCAGTGCGTGGACTAGTTACCCCCGGGGCTCTATGTGGGAAGGTTACTGGTAGTCCAAGATTATACAGTGTGTGTGTGGTCGTGGGGGAGGAGGAGGAGGGGGGGGGATGGGGAAATGGGGGAAGGGATAGGTTACTTGTGCACAAGCCTTTTGAGTGGGTATCTTGACCCAGGGGCGTCAAGATACCCATGTGTATCTTGATTCGGGGCGCACGAGAGTTTCTGCTAAAATGTTTTATTCCCCTTCTTGTATCTATATATGTGTGTGTGTGTGTGTGTGTGTGTGTGTGTGTGTGTGTGTGTGTGTGTGTGTGTGTGTGTGTGTGTGTGTGTGTGTGTGTGTGTGTGTGTGTGTGTGTGTGTGTGTGTGTGTGTGTGTGTGTGTGTGTGTGTGTGTGTGTGTGTGTGTGTCTGTCTGTGTGTGTGTGTGTGTGTGTGTGTGTGTGTGTGTGTGTGTGTGTGTGTGTGTGTGTGTGTGTGTGTGTGTGTGTGTGTGTGTGTGTGAGTGTGTGTGTGTGTGTGTGTGTGTCTATTTTTCCGTTCGTACGTGCGTACCTGAAATTGCGTGTGCATGTGTGCGTTCTGGTGAAGCCAAAGAGAATGAGGGCACAGCCTCACTCGCATGGAGAGAGAGAGAGAGAGAGAGAGAGAGAGAGAGAGAGAGAGAGAGAGAGAGAGAGAGAGAGAGAGAGAGAGAGAGAGAGAGAGAGAGAGAGCGCGAGAGATCGAGAGAGAGCAAAGGGAGGGTGGTGTGGGAGGGGAAGGAAGGGGGGAATGGGCTACGAGTCTGTCTGACTTCGCAAGTGTATTTGTAACAGTATCCCCCACGAGCGCCCATTGTTCTGTCCGCTGGTTGGGTCATTCCTAGACAGTTCTCTGATAATTTACCAACCCTTCTTTGCTACGATTTCTCTCCCCCTCTCTCTCTCTCCCTCTCTCGTTCTCATTCCATACAGCCCACCTTATCCATTCTTCCTCAACGCAAATTTTGATGCTATATATATATATATATATATATATATATATATATATATATATGCCTTAGCGTCATATATTCCCAGGAATATAGGATATTTTAGGTCAATTGGCCTATAGGAGGCCGCTAATGTATATCCAGCCTCCCATACTGATATAGTCGTACTTATCAGTGACTTCTGTTCTGTGAGGCCACTTGTTAAACTCGACACATGCTTCTGGCAGGGATAACGACCGCCAACTGCCAGTTAGAGACAAGAGACAGCACGACAAGTTTGCTGTTAAACAATATTAATTAGTCAAGAATTATTGAGCGCAAGTTGAGAGGGTATTTTGGTTATACCAGAGCGGGGGAGAGTCGAAGCTGCCTAAGTATTTTGCACGCTCCGAACACCTTTGGAGTTCTGGGAGGAGGCGATGATGCGGCCTGAGAAATTCCTCTAGTTTGAGGTTCAGGTGCAGGAGGCCAGCTGCTGGAGGTCCACTCACAGGAGGCCAGCTGCTGGGGGTCCACTCACAGGAGGCCAGCTGCTGGAGGTCCACTCACAGGAGGCCAGCTGCTGGAGGTCCACTGACAGGAGGCCAGCTGCTGGGGGTCCACTCACAGGAGGCCAGCAGCTGGAGGTCCACTGACAGGAGGCCAGCTGCTGGAGGTCCACTCACAGGAGGCCAGCTGCTGGAGGTCCACTCACAGGAGGCCAGCTGCTGGAGGTCCACTCACAGGAGGCCAGCTGCTGGAGGTCCACTCACAGGAGGCCAGCAGCTGGAGGTCCACTCACAGGAGGCCAGCTGCTGGGGGTCCACTCACAGGAGGCCAGCTGCTGGGGGTCCACTCACAGGAGGCCAGCTGCTGGGGGTCCACTCACAGGAGGCCAGCTGCTGGAGGTCCACTCACAGGAGGCCAGCTGCTGGAGGTCCACTCACAGGAGGCCAGCTGCTGGGGGTCCACTCACAGGAGGCCATCTGCTGGAGGTCCACTCACAGGAGGCCAGCTGCTGGAGGTCCACTCACAGGAGGCCAGCTGCTGGAGGTCCACTCACAGGAGGCCAGCAGCTGGAGGTCCACTCACAGGAGGCCAGCAGCTGGAGGTCCACTCACAGGAGGCCAGCAGCTGGAGGTCCACTCACAGGAGGCCAGCAGCTGGAGGTCCTCTCACAGGAGGCCAGCAGCTGGAGGTCCACTCACAGGAGGCCAACAGCTGTAGGTCCACTCACAGGAGGCCAGCAGCTGGAGGTCCACTCACAGGAGGCCAGCAGCTGGAGGTCCACTCACAGGAGGCCAGCAGCTGGAGGTCCACTCACAGGAGGCCAGCTGCTGGACGTCCACTCACAGGAGGCCAGCTGCTGGAGGTCCACTCACAGGAGGCCAGCAGCTGGAGGTCCACTCACAGGAGGCCAGCAGCTGGAGGTCCACTCACAGGAGGCCAGCAGCTGGAGGTCCACTCACAGGAGGCCAGCAGCTGGAGGTCCACTCACAGGAGGCCAGCAGCTGGAGGTCCACTCACAGGAGTCCAACAGCTGGAGGTCCACTCACAGGAGGCCAACAGCTGAAGGTCCACTCAGGAAACATCGAAGACATTTGCCTGAAGGATCCCACAAACAAATCATGATTCCTTTTTGGTTGAAACAAAAGCCGTATCCCTCAAGAGTTTAATAATCAGTTTAACATGCAGACGCTGGACGGCTTAGACTGACGAGAGAGTTAACAATCAGACAGCCGGAATTTGCAACATGCAAGATGCAGAAACAATGGGAGATTTGACTTAGCTCGGACCAGAGGGAGCCAGGAGGGGTCACCATGAACCTACTCAAAAATACACCAAACTACATACATGCACACTATGTATATATTTATACACCAACTACACCTTTGTTGCTTCTGTATCACAGCCAACCAGGAAAGTCTGTACCACAGCCAAACAGGAGAGTTTGTACCACAGCCAACCAGGAGAGTCTGTACCACAGCCAACCAGGAGAGTTTGTACCACAGCCAACCAGGAGAGTTTGTACCACAGCCAACCAAGTGTCTATACCACAGCCAACCAGGAGAGTCTGTACCACAGCCAACCAGGAGTCTGTACCACAGCCAACCAGGAGAGTCTGTACCACAGCCAACCAGGAGAGTTTGTACCACAGCCAACCAGGAGAGTTTGTACCACAGCCAACCAGGAGAGTCTGTACCACAGCCAACCAGGAGACTCTGTACCACAGCCAACCAGGAGAGTCTGTACCACAGCCAACCAGGAGAGTCTGTACCACAGCCAACCAGGAGAGTCTGTACCACAGCCAACCAGGAGAGTCTGTACCACAGCCAACCAGGAGAGTCTGTACCACAGCCAACCAGGAGAGTCTGTACCACAGCCAACCAGGAGAGTCTGTACCACAGCCAACCAGGAGAGTCTGTACCACAGCCAACCAGGAGAGTCTGTACCACAGCCAACCAGGAGAGTCTGTACCACAGCCAACCAGGAGTCTGTACCACAGCCAACCAGGAGAGTTTGTACCACAGCCAACCAGGAGAGTCTGTACCACAGCCAACCAGGAGAGTTTGTACCACAGCCAACCAGGAGAGTTTGTACCACAGCCAACCAAGTGTCTATACCACAGCCAACCAAGAGTGTCTGTACCACAGCCAACCAAGAGTGTCTGTACCACAGCCAACCAAGAGAGTCTGTACCACAGTCAACCAAGAGTGTCTGTACCACAGCCAACCAAGAGAGTCTTTACCACAGCCAACCAAGAGAGTCTGTACCACAGCCAACCAAGAGAGTGTACCACAGCCAACCAAGAGTGTCTGTACCACACGTAACCAAAAGGTCTGTAACATTACCTGACACGTGCTTGGACAGCTGTAACTTGTAAGGTGCGTGGAACAAGTGATGTAAATTGTCCAGCACCACAATAGTGGTCATTGTCTCCTGCAGTACTGACAGCTACCCATTACTTAAGCTGGGACTTGCCAAGCATTGTAAACTGAGCTTCAGAAGCTTGAACGTGACTTGAATAAGCTGGGCCGGTAAGGGATAGTTACAAGGCACCTCGTAACCAAGATGGTTAGCTAACGTATTTTAACATTTACTTAACCTAACCATATCCAGCCTAACCTAACTAATCTAACCTTACCGAACATTACCCAGCTTAAACTAGCCTCATAGACACGAACAAATCCACAAGGGCCGTGCCGAGGGTTCGAACCTACGTCCGAGAGGATCCCAGACGCGCCGTAATTGACTGAGCTACGACATGGTAAAAGAATTGCAAACCTGGTTTGTGTCTCGGAGAGACTGCAGGATCCGTGGTAGGTCAAGTTGATTTCCCGGTTGCAATCTATCGTAACCTAATTCAAACCATCTAAACCTAAGCAAATAGTAGTAGGCATCCTGCAGTCTTGGGAGACTACAGAGTTCTACTCCGGTTGTCGGTCTGAGTGGCCTCTCCAGGGCCCAAAGTCAGGGTAGGTTGATATGGAGGAGAAGCTGTTACCCATGCAGCAGGTCCCTCGTCTTCACGTTGCTGAAATTGTCCAATGGAAAGACAAGTGCCAACACGCTTGGTTCCAGCGCCGTCGCAGGAGCTGCCAGAACGAGGTTGAAGTCTAAGCAAATACATCCTAATCTAATATAAAGATATACACGGTTTTAACAGACAGAAAAAAAGTCTTTCGTCGAGTCGTAGTGTATATAACTTGACCAGGTTTATATATTATAAGACAAGAAAATTGATCTGGAAATAATAAAGGAAAATAAAATCCCACGAAAAGCGTATTATAAACCGCAAATCTTATGAGTACCCTACGACATGGAGTGGTCGGTAGACCGACGGTCTCGCTTTTTGTAGGGTCGGCGTTCAATTCCCGTTGGTTCAGGTTGTTGGGCACCATTCCTTTCCCCCGTCCTAACCCAGTTCCTTGTCTCCATATCCCTTCCAAATGCTACATAATCGTATTGGTTTAACGCTTTCTCCTGATTACCTCGAGTTTAGACCTTAAAATAACATTTTGCTCTATAAAAATGGTTTTAAATTTTGGTCAATACTTTTAAAGACAGGAAAATATGGTATAGAATCCTCTTAGAAGAATATTGTGTATTTGGGTCAAGAATACCAAATGATTTGATACAATTCAATCTTGATTCCAGCAAACATTTGTTGACGAATGATTAACTGCTCACAAAGAGCTGTAAGTGGCTGGGAGAATTGCAATCAAAGCTCGTTATGTTTACCTCAACACAACAGTAAACACAGCCAACACAAACGCAAATAGACAAGAACAAAAAATATACTGGATAAATTACATGCATTTATTCGCAAACTTTCGTTGTTTGACAGAAGAGAGATTAGCAATTCTTTTTTGTAACATAATACACTACTGTTTGTCTTCGTAATTATTTTTAAACGGTATTTTTGTTTCACTTCTCAATGAAAAAAATATTTTAAGTTATCTTTCACTATAACAAACAGTTTGATAGGCTCAACTGTGTACTGTTGTGGGGCCTCGAACGAGAGTGGTAGTTGGCGTCCTGGTGACCTCAAATGAGGTCACAATCGACTTGAGAATGGTCCAGGACGGACCGAAACGTCGTCGTCCCTTCACCTTCTAGTGTGTGGTCTGGCCAACCTCAAATGACCACATGTGTCTTCTTCCTTCTGGAGGTACGAAGCTGCAACATATTTATTCTTTCTCTTATATCTTTTATCTCTCCTTCATATCTCTCTGCCCAATCACTTGAGCTGGACGGTAGAGCGACGGTTTCGCTTCATGCAGGTCGGCGTTCAATTCCCGACCGTCTAAGTGGCTGGGCACCATTCCTTCTTTCCCTGTCCCATCCCAAATCCTTATCCTGACCCCCCTACCAAGGGCTATATAGTCGTAATGGCTTGGCGCTTTTCCCTGATAGAGACTTTCCCCACCCCTCCATCCTCTCTCTCCTCTTTTATATCTCTCTCTTGCTCTCTCTCTCACGTCTGGTTTTCAGGCACGGCCAGCTTAGCTAACTCAAACTGATGACCACTCTCTATGCTAATTACTTAAATTAAATGGTGCTATAAACTAAACGATTACACACCAGTTCAGGATCTTGGAGAGAGAGAGAGAGAGAGAGAGAGAGAGAGAGAGAGAGAGAGAGAGAGAGAGAGAGAGAGAGAGAGAGAGAGAGAGAGAGAGAGAGAGAGAGAGAGAGAGAGAGAGAGAGAGTACACATAGCTGCGTGCATGTCGAGTATACATGTGTATCCACAAATGAAAGGTTTACACATATGAAATTGAAAGTCTTGCCGAAATTAAATCGATTGCACAGTCACGTGACCCGACCCCGTCACTCGACCCCTCACTGGGATTCGAGTAACTGGAAATAATCCAACAAATCCGTTGACTCACAGGTAGTATTAACGTAATGTAATTACCTAACCACTTTCATTGTATCCTAGGTGGCCAATGACGGGGTCATTATATCCCAGGCGCCCACCAAGGCGGTCATTATATCCTATCTGGCCAATGAGGGGGTCATTATATCCTAGGTGGCAATCAAGGTTTCATTATATCCCGCATAACTAACGAAGGGAGTTATTCCATATAAAGAACTGGGTCATTGTATCCCATATTACCAACGAGACAGGTCATTATTACATGTGTGCCATGTAATCAACTAGGAGTCATTGTATTCCAGTAACTAACGTGATGGGTCATTGTATCCCACATAACCAACGAGGGGGTTCATTGTACCCCACGTAACCAACGAGGGGGGTCATTATACCCCACATAACCAACGAGGTGGGTCATTGTATCATGGTTGAAGTCCCCCAAGAACAACCCCCCCCCCACATGCATGGTCAATAGCAACAAACCTCTTGATCAGCACACCTGAGAAAGCAACCAAGATTCTCATGGCAGTCTTGGAAAGAGTGACTCACTGTTAACCAAAAGTCAATCTTGCATTAACGAATGGAATCACATGAAAATTTCTGCAATTCGGGGCTCATAAACAGGTTAATCAATGTAAACAAAGAGGAAATGATTGAGGAGAGATGTACAGGTTTCATAACGGCTTGACGACCGGTGAGTGGAGTGTGAGATCTGGTACGAACAGCTTTGGCAGTACTAAGCTTTCCCCACTCTCTTAGACCTCCTAGACCTCAGCCATCCTAGACCTCAGCCCTCCCCCCTTCCTCATCAATTCACCCACAGCCCACCTTCTTCACTCCCTCACACCTCACACACCTACTAACTTCACAGCTCCAACCAGCACCCTCCCACACACCCTCACCCTAACACCAATACAACTGGAGTGGACACCATGATACTAGGATCAAAGTCTAGAAGAAACAATGGATGACAGTATAGTCACTATAGAAGTGAAAAAAGAAAACACCTGGAGAAACTAAATAATAATATCAATAGAACCAAACTTGATCTCACCGTGGCTGCTGAAGGAGGCGGAAGAAGAACTTTGTTATACATATTCTAAACTTTTTAATAAAATGCTTCAGACAGGAAATCTCCCAGAAGTATTGAAATGGGCATAGTTCCAATATTCAAAATAGAGGACAGACAGGAAGCACTAATTTATAGACCGGTGCCATTGACAAGACTTGTGTGTCAAGAACAATGATAGAACATATCGAGAGGTCTAAATATGTGATAAAAGCTCAGTATAGTAGTCAGTAAGGGGAATACGGTGAAAAAAGTTGTGGAAGCCACCTCCATCCACAACTTGAAGGCCTTATTCGACATTGAATTTAAACATCATAAATGTTAAATTTTAACATTTCTCTACATGGCTAGTAGGTAAAAAAGGTACATGGCTAGTAGGTTGGGCTTAAAGAGCTCGTCCTAGTAGTCACTGATAAGTATCACCGTCCCACTCCACACCCTCACCATCACCCCACACCCCCACCATCACCCCACACCCCCACCATCACCCCACACCCTCACCATCACCCCACACCCCCACCATCACCCCACACCCGCACCATCACCCCACACCCCCACCATCACCCCACACATCACCCCACACCCTCACCCCACACACCCTCACCATCACAACAACCCCCCCACACCCCTCACCCCACACCCTCACCATCACCCCCCCACACCCCCACCATCACCCCACACATCACCCCACACCCTCACCATCACCCCACACACCCTCACCATCACAACACCCTCCCACACCCCTCACCCCACACCCCCACCATCATCCCACACCCTCACCATCACCCCACACACCCTCACCATCACAAAACCCCCCCCCACACCCCTCACCATCACCCCACCCCCACCCCCCACCATCACCCACACATCACCCCACACCCTCACCATCACCCCACACACCCCCACCATCACACCCACCCCCCCCCACCCCTCACCCCACACCCCCACCATCACCCCACACCCTCTCACCATCACCCCCACACCCCCACCACCACCCCACACCCTCACCATCACCCCCACCACTACCCCTCACACCCCCACCATCACCCCACACCCCCACCATCACAACACCCCCCCACCATCACAACACCCCCCCCACACCCTCACCCCACACCCTCACCATCACAACACCCCCCCCCCCACACCCTCACCATCACCCCACACCCCCACCATCACCCCCACACCCCCACCATCACAACACCCCCCCACCATCACAACACCCCCACACACACCCTCACCCCACACCCTCACCATCACAACACCCCCCACCATCACAACACCCCCCCACACCCTCACCATCACCCCACACCCTCACCATCACCCCCCCACACCCTCACCATCACCCCCCACACCCTCACCATCACCCCCTTACACCCTCACCATCACCCCC